AATCAAAGAAACCAGACTTTCGAATTGAAAAGCCCCCGGAATGATATTGAGAACGGCATTTGTTCCCTCTTGAACCGCCGAACATACCGCGATGTGTGCAGCTGAATATACAATGGCGTCTTATTTTGTTTACAAGCGACAAATTCCTTTATTTTGTATCGCTGCATTTGTCATCAAAATAAAACCATGCGCTGGGTTAAGAGTGAGGCAATAGATTATACATTTAGCTTGACGGTAGTGAAGAAAGAGAAAGAACTCAAATAAAGATGAAAAAACAGGCACTGAAAATGTGTGAGATGTCATGGGACATCGTCTGCTTGTGCAAATCATGTCCATACTGTGATCTCACACATCTCAGCAGCGTTCGGAGAGCTCTTCAGGTGCTATGCCGGGGCTGTATTTAAGCGTTTTGTGATTTATAATAATCATTACTTCGACTGTTTCCAAGCATTGAATTTTGATAACCTTGTCGAATCAAAGTTTCAACTTTGCAATAATGAAAATAAAGTTAGTTTTTAAAATCAATGAATATCTACTTTAATAAAAATTTGTCTACAGCCCCCAGGCCAGTGGAGGGTAAGCTATACATTCCTGCATGATACAAAATGGAACTGCATGACACCCGAAAGGTATATAATCATGACAATTTGGGATTAGTGACAATCGTACAATTTTTCAAGATTCAAATTTGGACAATTGAATTTTCCATTACGATTTGTCATATTTTTTATTTTTATTATTATTATTTTTTTTAAATGCAGTTTTGAAAAGAAAGTTGGGCCAGTCAAACAATGGACCCATCATAGTGCGTCGAGTATTTCTGAGATAGAGCACCACTGCGGACCAATATGAAGATCGGTCAGCCGTGGTGCAGAGAAGCCACGCCCAAACGTTAGACACAATCATGTGAACGATAAGCCCATGTATTTGTTACAGCTTAATAAGCCCATCATATACGAACGGTTTTGCAAAACAAAGAGATTCGTTGTGCAGGTGAGAAAGATTCATGCATTCTTTAGCAGACTAGATATGCTTGATAGCAATGACAATTCGGAGTACAATTATTCAGTGGCAAAGAGGGTTTCCCGGTCATCAAAACAAGTTCATGCAGTCAACTACAATAAAACAGATTGACTAAAAACAAGTGAATGCTATACAGATAAGTGAATGCTATATAAAAGAATGAGGAGTTCGGTCTTGGGGTTACAGTTATCAAGTTAAATGGTTAAATAAAAAAATCGTCTCCAGCCCCAGGCCAGTGGAGGGTAAGCTAAACATTCCTGCATGATACATGCAACTGCATGACCCCTTAGAGGTATACAGTCATCTGTCATGAAAATTTAGCGTTAGTGACTGGCAACCGTACAATTCTTTCGACATTCAAACGATTTACGCATTTGGACAATCGAATTCCCCATTATAATTTGTCACAAAAAACAAAACAAAACAAAAACAGTTTTGAAAAGAAAGTTAGGCTGCTCAGAGTATTTCTGAGATAGAGCACCACCGCGGACCAATATGTAGATCGGTCAGCTGTGGCGCGGAGAAGCCACGCCCTGTTCCTACTTCAGACACACGTAAACGATTAGTCCATGTATTTGTTACAGTAAGTTTAATAAGCCTATCATACACAAATGGTGTGACTGACACAGGTATTTTGCAAAACAAAATTTTGTTGTGCAGACGAGAAAGATTCATGCATGCCAAAGCAGACTATGACATAATGCTTGATAGCAATGACAATTCGGAGTACAATTATTCAGTGGCAAAGAGGGTTTTGACATGAATTCCCGGTCATCAAAACAAGTTCAGTCAACTACAATAAAACAGATGGACCCAAAACAATTGAATGCTATACAGATAATAATTTATTGACCAAGAGTTAGGAGTTCGTTATTGACAATCCCAGTAATCAAAATCAAAGGTTGATAAAAAAAAAACTTGTCTCCAGCTTCCAGTCCAGTGGAGGGTATGCAATAAATTCCTGTATGATAAAAAAATGTTACTGTATGACCTCGTGAGAAAAAAGGTGGGCGGGGCAAAAAATATACAGGCATTTTAAGAAGTCCAGAGCTATATGAACATTCTTGGTTATAAATATATCCTGCTGTGGACTGCGAATCGAATGATGTTTATAATCCTGTTTTACCTTTGGAATTTGCAGTAATAATAGAATGTAATACCGCCAACATTTGGTAAAGAGTTTGGAGTTGGCATTTCGTATGATTATTCAGCGAATTTTAGAAAACAAGAACTGTTCAAAATTGTTTATCCATCTAGAAGCCACACAAGGCCGGTCACATGATTCAACCCAGCCAAACTCAGAAAAGCTGCCCGCACATAAGTGTACTATACGTTTCACGTGTTTAAATAATCTTGAATATTCAAACTATTGTTATATTATTCGTGTGCAATAATGAGGACGAGCATGCAAGCGCTACTCGAGTGCAAACCCAACCCCCTCTAGTCTCTACTTAGGTGTTTAAATCTTTAGCTCAAAGTATGACAGAAAAGGGGTCTAAATCATATTTGTATCACCTACCCCTCTCCCCCTTGGGGTAGAGAAGGCGAAATTTGAGAAAACAATAGAAATCAAACATTAATAATGTATGTTTTAATAATGTTTATGCTCCATGTCATGCATTTGTGAAACAACGAGTTAATAACCATGCAGTATAATCTTTTCGTCTCCACTCTGGGTCAATCGTCAGGGGCAGATCCAGGATTCATTTGAAATGAGATCGAGGAGGGGAGGAGGGGAGGGAGGAGGGGAGGAGGGGAGAGGGGAGGAGGGGAGGGGGGAGGGGAGGGGAGGAGGGGGGGGAGGGGAGGGGGAGGAGGAGGGGAGGGGAGGAGGGGAGGGGAGGAGGGGAGGGGAGGAGGGGAGGAGGGGAGGAGGGAGGAGGGGAGGAGGGAGGGATTTCCACTGATGCCTGGTGTGTAGCACTATGGCAATTTGACTGGGGTAAGTGTCTCTAATACGCCCTATAGGCAAATATTGACAGGTCTACGTATTTTAGTATGGAAAAATAACCATTTTATCGTACAGGTTGATCATCAATAAAACATTATGCAGTGAACACCATGAATATTTCGAAATGGAGGGATAGTTGCATTTCTGGCGGAGATATCCGGGTCGGGAATCAGCTACATTCCCCCTCCCCATTTTTTTCTTCTTCTCCTTGTTCTTCTTCTTTTTCGTTTCTTAATCATAGTATTAATCATTTGCAAATCAATTACATGCCTATAAATATATATATATATATATATAATAATCATGGTGCTCCATGATTTTGAAATACTTTATGGAAACCTTACGTTTTACCAGACCTTGACACAAAGTTGACAGTGTTACCTTTATTATTCACTTCCGTACTGTTTCAGCACATAGCAACACTTTGTTATTCGAGGCAGGGGCGTAGACAACGGGGGGATGAGGGGGATGCATCCCCCCACCTCACAAGGTGGGGGGGGGGGATGGCATGTACAATCATCCCCCCAGGTTTTGGGGAATGATATTTGCTTACTTAATAAGTCATAATGATGATAATAATAGTTATAATAATAATGATAACAATTATAATATTAATAATAATATAATTAATAATAATCCTCATCATTATTGTAATTGTGTTTATTGTTATTAGCCGCATTCACACGGTGAAAGCCAATTCAGACGGTAAAAAAAAGAAAATCTTACAAGTATTTTGTGGTTATCTGTATTGTTAACTATTTATTTATTTTTGTTTTATTTAAGATGCACTTTGTTTTGTATTCATTTAAAGTATGTTGATTGATGCATGAAGACATAAGTTTGAAATGTTTAAAGAAGTTTGTTTCATGTAAAGCGCAGTGTGAATTTACCCTGTCTTGAAATGCGAGATAAAAGGAACCTATTAGTATTAGCATTATTATTTGTATTAGTATTATTTTTTATTTGTATTATTATTATTATTATTATTATTATTATTATTATTATTTATTATTATAATTATTATTATTATAATTATTACTATTACTATTATAAGACTGAGATCAAATAGAAGTAAATAATGCCCTAATTTGAAACGATGCAATGCCGTTGGTTCCGATTTCTTCACAAACTTACAAAGCAGTATTGTTACTCCATGGATCATAGTGATACTATTTATGTTTTTTGTATCTGTATGTTAATGAGCCGCCAGCCAATATCCATCTATGGATACTATGCCTGTTTCTTTGAGGTAAAAAAAGCATAGTATGTACGTATTCATTATGCTTTATAATGAACAGACATATTGTTCAAAGTTTAATCGTTATTTGTTGTTTATGTGTTCTATTCACAAATGGCCACAGAGGCTGTTTTCATTCATAACCACATACCCCTATCAAGACAACAAAGACTATACCTGCGTGTACACAGTTGACATTGGTTTTTTTTTGAAGAGGTGTAACAGCAAAATTCACAGAGATAAATAAATACGTAGTGTGGTTCAATATGCAATACTATGTGTCATTCCATTCTATATTCGTATGCCACGGTGTGTAGATCTTGTCGATGTATGTCTGTCCATTCAAGGCGTAGTGTGTGTGTGTGTGTGTGAGTGCGTGTGTGTGAGCGTGAGTATGTGTGTGTGAGTGTGCACGCTTGTGTGTGTTATTTTACCTCATTAAGTATGCATCAGATTGCACGATTTCAAGTTCAAAATTGCAAAAGCTCCCTACCGTGGGAGGGGGGACACCCCCCTCCCACACCCTCCCCCCGCTCGGTCGCTTCGCTCCCTCGCTCGGGCGCTTCGCGCCCTCACTAGCGTTGGCAGCCCAGTCATCCCCCCCAGGTGTACAAACCTGTCTACGCCACTGATTCGAGGGCAAACATTTTGGGGGGAGTGGAGGGCATCCCACGGCGCTTTAAAAAAAAAAGGATTTTTGCTTCCCTTCCATATCCCGTATAATTTATCCGACACGAGCCTAGTCATCACCATTCCTGATAGAAGCGTGTGCAAAACTAGAAAGGTCCACCTAGATCGAGCTCCACAGGCACCGCTAACAGGTTGCCTATAGCTCGTGCAAAAACGTGATGTGTTTACCTAATTGTTTGCACACGGATCTTGGAATGAAAACATATAAAACCCCGAATTTCACCAGTTTTTGTCACAAGCTGAAGCGATTGAGTGTGATTTACATTACCTTCTGAAGAAACATACAACTCGAGTTCAATTTCATCACCATGCCTGATGTCAAGTGTGTCTGCTGCACGGGTAAGCAAACAATCGAAATCAATATTCGATATTCTCATTAAAATACCCAGTTACAATACCGTGTACGGTGTAGCGTTTCTAGAAACAAACCGCTCGATGTTACGTGCATACGATATGGCCATGGCCATGACCATGAGAGAGCCCCCGATCACGACACACGCAGCTAGCTAGACCGAATTTTCCGTCTCTTTCGTTCGTTAAGCTTCTTGTTTGGGTAGGGTCGGCTCTCTCTTTAGAGACGGAAGCCGACTATACGCATTCCCCGCATTTTTATGCCCCGAAAATCCCCCCCCCCCCAAATGCCATTTTACCTCGTGCATGTTATATTGTAAATTAGGCCTAGGCTATAATAAATCGGTTCCACTTACCAACTTGACTGAAATACTTTAATGGTCCCTTTTTAGGAAATTATGGGTCAAAATCGAAATCCATGTTGAAAATCTTGCAGAACGTATTTTAACTCTCGCTGCGCATGACGTCATCTTAATCTCATCCCTTCTAGCTAGTCTACGCCGAAGGCAAAATGATTATGAAGGAAAAACTGTGCGCGAGCTACACGTTCGTTATCACAGTTTTTCTTCATAATCATTTTCATGTTTTCTTGCCCGTTTCTTCATACTTGTTACATCAATAGTTATGTCAATAACTAAGTTTTTGCCAACAAGCACTGCTGGATTTGTGGTTTCAAATTCAAGATTGTTATTACATTTTTAAAATTTTATATCATTATATATATATATTTTTTAATTCTGAATACAGAGGGCAAGGAGTGTGCCTGCTATGGACAAGATTGCTGTTTAACTGGTGAATGCTGCAAGGATGGAACCTGCTGTGGAATTTGCACAAGTGAGTCTTTCATCATTTTCAGTGAACCCTTAAAATTAAAGTGCCTCCTAGTAATTAAGGCTTTTTTTTTTCTAAACTGTTTACACAAGGCTTTTAAAAGTGTTTATATTCATAGAAAAAAATTGTTCCAATTGCTCATGCATCTTTTTTATTTCTTTTTACTCTCACCTTTAAATGGGTGCAGGCTTAAATGTCAGACAAACTGGCAATGATTATTTGTGCTCAATATCAATATTGTGGTGTATCCATGGTTTTGTTATGGTGGGGGGGGGGGGGGGGGGAATCTGACAAAAAATATTGACAGCCAAGAATATAGGTCTATATGATTTGTCAGGGAGATATGAATTTCACATCTCCTAGGTTTTATTGTTGTCACCAATTAAATTATTTTAAAAATCACTGACAAGCTTGGAAAAGGATTTTGAAAATAATTTAAAACATGTTTAAAACTCATTTTCCTGGTGAATTTGGGTCTGCCATGGGAATTGGGCACAAAATTCGTCCCTATTTTCACAAAGTGAATGCAATTTTTTTTCACTACCGTCACTTCGTGAAAACAGCGACGAAATGTGTGCCTGCACACATATATATATATATGTGACCCGGCACCACAAAACCAACAAAAAGTCGCAACCAGCGATTCTCCGTAATCAGCTAAAATGTCAATTTAGGTGAAAAAAATAGATTTTTTTGTTTTTTTGCATTTTCTGAAAGAGTGGTCTTTTCTGTACCTAGTATCAAAATTTGGAAGTCTAAAACATAGTAGAAGATGTGTTTAAACGGTTTTTCTAGACCAGTTTTTTTCGCACAGCCTTCGGTCTCTTCCAAAATTTGATCACTTTTCCCGAGCGAAATTATCGTACTCCGGAAATGGTCGGTCGTTGCTAACGGGTCGTGCTACGCGGGCTGTGATTGGTCCGTTATAGCAATCAGTGCGGCGCGCCTTTTTGTTTGTATCCGCTTTCACATCCGAGTTCCAGCAGTGTTATGTAAGGAGGAACAAAAAGACTCCGGGTCCACCATGAATAGGCATTGTCTAGTGCAGGTGTCTCGGCACTATGTTGCAGTTCACTTAATCTGTCCAATTACAACTCTATACATTTACAACATAATAACTTTTGAAAGACTTAAGTCCACACATTGAAACCTCAGAAACATAATGAACAGACTATGTTTGACCATCAGGCCAAATTTCAGCCTAATCTGAAAATCTCTTCATAGTGGTGCTATGGCCTTTTGATTCACCCTTCTATTGATTTCCCTGTGGTTTGCTTGCTCCGCATGCTTGAATAGCCCCAAACTTTAAAGCTCTCTTTCTCACAATTTAATACCAGTAACCTCCCTCACCAGCTCTTTTCATTCACTAAATTGAAAGGGGTAGGAAGCTTCAATTTGGACAAGTAATATACCATTTTGATGAGGAGAACTTCTTCTTTCATAATCAGATGAAATCAGGAAAATAATTTTTGCGACTTTTGGTGGTTTTGTGGTGCCGGGTCACATATATATATATATATATATATATATATTTTTTAATTTTTTTTTGGAGGGGGGGGGGGGGGGGGTTGCTTTTTCCATGTATGCCTAAATGAGGGGCGCAGACCAATTGTGCCCATTATATATCCTGCTGTGTAGTCTGCATGAAAGAGAAAATGCAGTTATACCAACAATAGAATAGAGACATTTTAATTTGATGTTATTACTTGGTTTATTTTATTTGTCCACAGACGCTGCATGCAAGTGTGCTAATGGCTGCAAGTGTGGAAGCGGCTGCTCATGCACTGAGGGGAACTGTGCATGCTAGACGAGCTAGGCCCTTTGCTATAGGGATGGCAGGTGAGACTTTATTAATTTTCATGGCTACATAGTAAAAATTGTTTCCAGGCAAAAACGTTAGCTAGTCATAAGGGATATGACAGGGTCTGAAATGTAAGACTGTAGATTTGCACTGCATAAAGCTGTGCCATCATTTTTAAAAAAAATAGAATTTCACAATTTGAATTTCATTTTCCGAGAGAGCATCAAAATTAATGTCCAAATGTCGAAAGCCAACTGAATATGTTAAATATTGGCTGAGATGTGACCATTTGAATAAATATGTTTCTTATAGGAACTCAATGTTATATTGCTGTGGTTCATAACATCATGAACCAGAGCAAAATAACACTGAGTTCCTACACAAAATCTATTTATTACATTACTGCATTGCGATATATAAAAAAGGTCAATTAGAAAATCTTTGCAAGTTATGGCAATATGTATAGACCTTCCTATCTTTCATGACTTTTGTATATTTTTTTCAACAACCGGAACAAATTCATTAACCATTTCTGTGTTTTCATACTTTTTTGTAAAAATATTTTCAAGCATTTTGTTTTTCTCTCCGTGTCTGTTTCTCTTCTACAGATTGAGCATACAGCTGATGAAGTCACTCAGCGCATCTGCCAACATGCTCCAAGCAGACCTGACTTTGTATATACTTTCGACCCAATGTATTATATTTTTTGTTGTAAGATAGTTGTATATTAAGTTAATTTAATCTTTATTTTTCTGAAAATATGAGACTAATTGGCATTAATAGGACTACTTAAACAACAATTATTAATTAAGGCTTACAGTAATGCCTGATAGAATTTCACTTCATTTTTTGCTGCCTTGTTTTGAAAGTTCTTCAGTCTGTTTCTAACTTCTATCAAGTTGTCAAATTTGGAATGAAAATAATAATAATAATACATGTGGAGTATTTGTAGTGCGCAAACTTCACATGACTAATGTGTTAAAGACTCGTTCATGATTAAATTTAAATAATGCTATAAAGTATATTCAGTATGCGTTGCTTATTTTTTCTCATGATTTATTTGGCATGGTATATAATGAGGAAATATGTAGATTATTGAGGTACTTTGAAGAAAAGAGAGATTTGTAATTCAGAGAATTGAGTGCTGAAGAGGAAATGTGAGGAGAAGGAGATTACAAAAAAAAATGGGTGAAAGAACAACTATGATAACAGTGCAGGCAAACGGCCTCAGAATTCCCTGGTAATTACAAACTAGCAAGAGAAGGAGTGAGGAGGCCAGAGAAAGATGGGGTGCAGGCCAGAGTTATACATGTACTTCGGGTTAGAGAGAGAGAAAGAAAAAGAGACGTGGACGAGAGAGTGAGAAAGGGGAGGGGAAGAGATGAAAGAAAACAAAAAGACGTGGACGAGAGAGAGAGAGAGAGAGTGAGTATGACCAGATAGGGGTGAGAAAAGGAAGAGAGAGAGAGAGTGTATGGCCAGATAGAAGTGAGAAAAGAGAGAGAAAGAAAACAAAAAGACATGGACGAGATATAATGACCAGATATGAAAAAATAATGGCAAATGTAAAACTGATAAGTGCCCCCTTTTCCTCTCTCAATAACAAGCGCCCCTATTTACAGCAACTAAAAGTGACTTTTTCTTTAATTCCCACCCCAACTCACTAGCTTGCATTTATAGTTGATATAATTGTTACTTTCATGATTATATTGTGCTAAACATCCCATCAGGATTATTTTTTCTTCTTTATTGTTGTAATTTTTCGCACAGCAACTTCACAAATCACATATTTTTTGGGTCGCTCGCTTCGCTCCCTCGCAAATTATATTTTAAAGCATCACACACAGCAGCAAAGTATGATGCTTAATCAGTTTATTGGACCATAATGTATAAAAAAAGAGGAACAAATCTGAAATTATCACCCCCCCCCCCTGTAATGTAGGGGTGTATACTAATGTCCATATAAAAGTATATTTTCGTTTTGATGTTTCCCTTTGTATAGGTCTCCCTTTTTCTCAGAACTTGAAGTGCCTTCTTTTTGTTGATGCCCCCCCCCCCCACACTTTTGAAGACACTCCGTCGCCCTATATAGAAGACATCCTCTCCCAGACCTTCCCCTCGAAAGGGTCAATCTCAATTTACCTCATAATGTCTGAACCCCCTTCCCCTACTACAATCTGCCTAGTCAAGAGCCTGATAACGAGCTTTTAAGAAATGTTTTAATTCATCCTGGGTCAACCCATCAAACACATTTGTACCATTACGCTACTGCCCCATTTCACAAAACTTGTCATCAGTGACAAATGACAGTTTTTGTTATAAGCTATACTGAAATCCTTGCGTCTGATTGATTATCAGCAGATTTGTCACTGATTTGTTGCATTTGTCATTGAAAAAGGCTTTGTGAAATGGGGCCCAGGTTTTGCATACCGGTACACTATAGCATTCATAAACATTTACAAGTGAAAGCTCCTATATCAAACTTTTACAATATTTTATTATTACTTCACATCAATTTAAGGAATGTTTTGAGGACAAATGACATTTTATTGCACTTGGTATATAGGCATGTGCCTAGTGGCATACGCAGGATTTTTTCAAGGAGGGGGGGGGGGGGGGGGTGGGGAGGGGGCTTTAACATTTCGAAATTGGGCCAAAAATTTCGCAACAACTCAGCCAGCCACTGAATAAGCAGGGGGGGGGGGGGGGTAAGAGGACACTTTTTTTTGGGGGGGGGGGATCTTGAAATTTGAAAATTTGAAATTTTTCTTTGTTGGGGGGCGAGGGGTAAGGCAAATTTTTCTTTTTTTTAAAATATAATTTAAACCCCCCCCCCCAAAAAAAAAAAACCAAAGGGGGGGGGGGGAGGGTTATAGGGGGGTTTTCTTAAAAATACACACATAAAAAATACCAAAGGGGGGGTTTAACCCCCTAAACACCCACCTCCTGCGTACGCGCCTGATGGAAGTAAATGTAGAAAGACAGTAAAGCAGAATATGAAAACTGTGTTTTTAGAATATCTTATTTTATCACCTTGTAGAGCACATTTTTGCAAACAAGGATGGGAGTGATGGCGGTATAATTAAAATAACTAGTGCCTAATACCCCCTTCACATACACAGAATTTTCTTACGAGTCCTTACGTATCACACATATTTACGGATCTTTCTCAGATCCTTACGATTTGGCCACTTTTACGACCGGTTTAAGAGTTATTACAAGCTTTTTGCAGTTTATTACAAATTATTACGACTTATTACAATGTATTTACGGCAACAGTCCACGATTTGTTACGAGCTGTCACGGATAACTACGAGCAACTAACGTGTTAGTTACGACCTGTTTACATGTTGTTACGAATAGTTACGTGTAAGTTACAAGTATTGTTACGAGTCATTTACTGATTCTTGCGAGCAGTTTATACCCCCTTCACATACACAGATTTTTCTTACGAGTCCTTACGGATCGCCAACACGTAGTCAATCGCAAGCATCCGTAAATAACTTGCTGGTATCCGTAAATAACTCGTCACAACACGCAAACAAATCGTAGACACTCTTAAGCATCCTTGAAAGGAGAGGCAATTTTTTGACATGTCAAAAATCTTCTTACGATTATCCACGGATTGATTTGTCCGTAAATAGCTCGTAACAATCCGTAATCATCCGTAAACCGCTCGCAACAACACGTGACCCTCCGTAAACTGCTCGCAAGAATCCGTAAATGACTAGTAACAGATTTTTGTAACGATTCATTACGGTCGGTTTACAATTTGTTTACGACTCTTAAATCGGTCGTAAAAGTGGCCTAATCGTAAAGATCCGTGATTGATCCGTGAATTTGTGCGATCCGTAAGGACTCGTAAGAAAAAATAAGCTTGCTTTCTAATGAAAGATGACCACATATTCATGTAAGATTTTTTTCATGTGAAAGGTCTAGATGTGATTATCTTTATCAAAACAAAGAATTCTTATGTATAATTTGGACTGTTTTTCTAATCCACGTTGTTTATCTCTCTCATGTGTCAGTTTTCTTTCTAGATAAAAGTACACATCACTCCACGAGCAGCTCCTGACAGACTCGTTATTTCGTGTGTCACAAAGTACCTTCAACATGTGTTTATATCGTATACCTCTCTAACACAAGACATCATAAACTTGATTGTATGATTGCTAACTTTATTACATCTCTCTCAAATGGCATCAGAGATTTGTATAATCACATAGCACACATGATCTTTAATATATACTCATTCGATTTGTTACATATATACAAGTCTAGTATAAAGACAAAACCTTTTGTATTTTGACAACAAACATGGCACACACATACACATCCACACCCACACACATAAGTTCTATTGCACTACGATTCAAGCATCTGTCCTGGGAAAAATACAGATTAAACATAGCATTATGATTCTGATGAGATGACTGAAAACTTATTTCTCTTCTTGAGTTCTTACTTCCATATCTTTATAGAATAAAACAACAATGAACAAACAAACAATATGTTGAGATCCTGAAGGGACCCATTCCATTTGAGCATTCATAAGAAAATAAACATTTATATCTGCAATGCTCGAGTGCGAGCAATATCTAATCTAATGTCCTTTCTTTGCGATATAGTGAATTTAATCCTATTAACCCTATTTCTTTTCAAAAGTTAATGTTTTGACTGAAAATGAATAGATAGGAGTGGTACTAGATCAACAAATTGTATACATATTAGACTTTATAATCTCAAATTAAATCCTCTTTCTCAGAAAATGATCTTGCAGTTGTTTGGGCATTACCCTCATATACTGTAACACAGAGTTAATGCCCTTTTGGCCATGAACAAGTTTTGACAATGAACGAAACAAATAAAAAATTAAAAAACAGAATGACTATATCGTTTTTACCCTACCCTGCAGATGTTTTTTTTAATATGTTATAGTTCCAATCAAATCAAAAAATCAAAAATAAATAAAAATTGAAATATGATTTTAAAAAGCAGGGACTGCCATCTCCCGATGAATAGTATAACAAATCTGTAAATGTACATTCAAAATAATCCAAAATATATACACGTCATCTCTTTCTATATAAATATCCTGAACAACTTAAATGTAAGTACTCTGTGGTAATAAATACAAGTCCAAATATTGTATATGATTTGTACATGGCTTTGTTTCAAGGAGTAATGGACAATTTGTTATTTACAGTTAAATCTTCAAAATCAGTATAAGAAGCATTTGTTGCTGATTATTTTCTTTTATTTGATTATTTACACATTTTTAAACATTACTTGTTATATACATACATATATGTACACCATTTACACCATATATATTGTATTTACATGCACCTATGAATGCGATTCAAAATATTCTTTAAAAAAAAAACAGTACATAGTTACACATCTACATTTACACAGGCACAAAACAGGGTGTATATAAACACAACTAGGAAAGTATTTTGACATGATTTTGCTTTGCAATCCACAGGAATAATGCAAAACCATCCATTCATAATAAAAATGAATTTCTTGCTCCTAAATTCATCCAATTTATGTTAACAATGATACTACAACACGATCACAAAAACTTAGAGGAGAAATTATTAAAAGGGCAATTTCAACAAACCTACAGGTCAGTTTTGTAAATCCCATAGAGTACCGAAGTGTGATGTCACACTGGCCAAGTTGTTAAAGTTGTTGTTTTAAAAGATTGTTTTGCTCAACAATTGCGGGGTGATCACACTACCCCAAAAACACTAATTCTCTCTTCTCCAGCCCGTTGCTTGAATGATTTTGTGGTGAACCTCATGCACATGCTCTGTTATTTAGAGCCTGTAACCAGGACGGCGAACAAATACGACATAAGCAGTCGGTACTCTGAAGAAATCATGTTGGGATTGCGTAATGCATCACTAAAATATTCGCACATTTCAATAGATGGACAAGGCTACAGAAATTGCCCTAGAATAATATTTCAAAAGTCTTTGTATTCACGTGATTGCATTAGCGTCTGTTGAGAGCCAGAAGGGCGTTAATTCTGTGTCACAGTATGTGAGTTAACGCCCTATAAGCTCCAAACAGACGATGGAAAAATAGCAAAAACAAAATGAAGAATAAGAAAATACACATGCATCGGATTAGAACAGAACAAAGCCATGAAAAGCAAGTATCAATTTAGAATCTCCTTAAAAACCAGATTTCACTATATACATCTTATCCACTCGCACAAAATAAAATTCCCCTGAATAACTTGATAAATATGTTTTGCACTCTAATGAAATAGCTACATTAAGCACACTTTCTTGCATAATGACATCATCTGTACTACAAAAATAGATACAATATACTACTTCTCAGAAGCCCAGAATTTGGTTGGAGACTTTCATTACAAATCATTTCAAATTTGATTTTTGCACAAGATTTAGATTTGAAATGGCTGTTTACAACAAATCTGAACACTTTGTTTCAACGTACTGGCACGTAGTACATCATTTTATAATGACAACCAGTCAGGCCCCGTCTGACAATGGATGCATGTCTTGTTAAAAGCGGGTGATTTTCCCTTTACTAGAATGAATACAAAATTTCTTGTACTGGTTAGCATTTCCTGTAAGAAAATTTTCTTTGTCATGAAGAATACAAATACATTGTTAAGTCCGATATCAAGGTTTTTCTTCCTAACTCTCTGATAATTGATGCAGTTCTGTTAAAAGAAAGTGTTTTTCTCATAAATATTTGCACATAACCACACTACTGTAGCACAGGGTAGTAACCTTGACATTACGAAAAGTTAGGCTTCTCTTGCACGTTAGAAGTTCAAAATACCACGTTTTGTTAGCACACAAGCTGTCATACGGTACTAGAGGATACAAAGAATTGATGAAGAACCTAACTAATATGGCAGTATCTCTCCCTTTCTCTTGAAAAGCATTTAGAAGATCATTTAAAAGGGCACTATAAATCTGCTCCAGGGGTTCTTTGATGTTGGCTAATCCAAAGCTACCCTCCATTTTTTTTGGAAAGCCTTTCAACGATCACATTAGACCTCATTACCAATAGTTCTATGAGTCTTTCCCTTTCTCTTTTAAAAAACCTCTAGACGATCGCATCCCAAGTCACTACCGATCTGTTGTATGATTTTCTCTCTTTTCATTGAAAAGCCGTCACAGGTTCATGACCAACAAATTCTATGAATCTCCTATTTTATGAATCTCCTGATTCTTTAAAATAAAATCTCCAGAAGATCACATCGCAGGTTCACAGCATGAGTCTCTCTCTCTTTTCCTTGAAAAGCCTTCACAACTTCACGACCAGCCCGTTCTATGAATCTCCCGGTTGACCGATCAGAAAGTACGTCAGCATCTCCCCTTTTCCCTTGACCTTAACGATGCCCCTCTCAGTGAGCCTGTATCCCATCGGGAGGAGGATGTTTCGCATGTCCTGTGTCACCTGGATCTTCTCTGGGATGCCGGTGCTGTCCATCCGGCTGGCCACGTTGACCGTGTTACCCCAGATGTCGTATTGAGGCTTGCGGGCACCAATCACGCCCGACACAACTGGACCGACGTTGAGACCTGAAAGTAAGTTGGTGATAATCAACAACTGTAATAACCTTTCTACCAAAAAAAGCATTCATTAAAGCCTGTCTGCACTAGTTTGGCCAGGGGGATTAGACCCCCCTGCAAGGGTACGAACAGGTGGCTATCTCATCAAATCAGCTCTCAATTAACATAAGAAATAGGGGATCATGGGGGACCAACAGGTACCGATAAGGCATTGTTTGCTATATGGAGGGCGCAAGTAGCTATAAGTAGTGCAGTTGGGCTTTAAAGAGTACCAATTACCGAAATATATTTTGTTCTGTACGTTAGTAAATTTCTGTAATTATCTTGTATTCAAAATATCAACTTAAAGTATCATTTCTATTTATTAGCTTAAAATATCACTTCTTTTTAAATATATTCCTCATAAAAGTAAAAGTGGCATGACAGTAGACCAGTCCATGCATCTATACATACTGCCATGATACATAACATTGATTGAGAAACCTTTGCCCAAACTGCCCTGTTACAAAAATCAATATTGAACTTAAGGAATAAGGGGTCTGTTTTGAGTGGCTCATATGAAGAGCTACAAAGAACTGCTTTTTTAAACTAAACAGTGTACTAAAGAAATTCTTACCAATCCTCATCTTGAAGTTATTGAAGGAGTGTTCATTGACGCATTTCAATTGTTTCATGAGGGAGAAAGCAAAGTCAGCTAGGGCACTGACGTGACTGTTCCCATCCTTGTCAAAGGTTTCTTCTGTTAACCCTGAAGCCGCCATGTAGGTGTATCCAATTGTCTTGATCTTCTCTATCTGGACAAAGTCATTTTTGCCAATGATCTACCAAGACACAAAAGGTAAAAAACAAATGAAAAGTGTTTGATTGATTGAATGACTACTGAATTAAATACCGACTACTGATTATTGTGTTATGAAGTATCAAAGGGTACTATAGTGTATTTACTTGGTTTATAAATATAAATACTGAAAGAGCTTCCATTGACAAAAAGAGTATTTTGTACACCAATATCCTTCCAAATAAGGGGGGAATTACAAAAGAATTCGTTATAGGAAGTGCAAGACAAAATTTTTATAAGACTTACCTCATCAAAGTCATGAATAATTTCATTGAGGAGCCTTAAGCACTCAACTCCCTCATTGTTCGCCTCCAGCTCTACGTAGAACTCAGAGAAGTTGGAGATGGACGCAAACATGACGGCAACAAAGTCGTTGTCTCGATGATAGAGGTCCATGTCCCGGGCGGAATTCTTGAGGAAGTGCTCGGCCACGAAGGAAGGGAGGATGTTGTTGAGAAGACGCTTGTTGTAGGCCTGGAGGTTGGCCATCTCATCCTTCTCTTCCGTTGCCTAGGAAACAGGAAAGCATAAGAAACATGAGCATTAAATATTCCTAGCAGGGTGACTTGGGCTTCAACAGCATGAAAACCCCCTTTGTGTTTGTTCGCACCATGAATTATGTCCAACTGCGGAGTGTTATTCATACACTTCATGACTGTTCTTTCCTGTACACAATAGAGGTATACATTTAGTGCACCATGAGCGTTTTATTTCTGATTGTAATCCTCCTCCTCCTCCTCCTCCTCACCATCTTCATCATTATTATTATTATTATCAGTATTAGTATTGCTATTACTTTTATTATCATTGTTATTATTATCACGATCATCACCATTGTCATCATTATCATTATTAGTATTTATAACATTTCTATATTATTTTTTACTAATATTTATATTATAAATTGTATTGTTATTGTTTATATTATTGTTGTTATTATCATTATTACTAATACTATTATTAAGATTAAAATTATTAACATCACTATTATTATCATCATTATTATTATTCTTATCATCATCAACACCATCATCATCATCGTTATCATTATCATTATCATCACCTGTAGTTTCCACAAGAAATCAAGTCTTGCTGTTGATTCCACCTGTCTCCCATGGATCCAAAGAGCGACGATATAGACAACCAAGATGATGGGCGTGACGATGGTCAGCGAGATGTAATTAGGCTCCAACATTCTGAGGAGATGATAGATAGAGAGACAGTGAAAGGGTTAATCAGGTAGAGTCACTCATCCCAAACAAAGTCTTCGCTCGTCATCAGACACGCTATTGCTTTATAGACCTAGAATAAAACATGCTCGGGGCGATCAGGCTTTCTCAGCCATGGGTCCGAAACTCTGCAATGAACTCCCTCTACAATTATGTCAACTGTCGTCAACAGAAACATTCAAATCACAACTGAAAACTTTGTTTTTCTTTTCGTTGTAATTATTGCAATATTCTTATTTACTATGTCTAGGAATTGTTTTTCTTTTTTTTCTTTCTTATGTTTGTTACATGTATTTTTCTCTAAACGCCATGAACACCAAAAGGTGGACCTGTGCGCTATATAAGTAGCCACTATTATTATTATTATTATCCAATGTAAGAGGCTAGGTTATAACTTCATACTCCTTAGCCAATTTAGTTGTGGTGAAACTTATGATTTGAAAGAGAGAGACAGAGACAGAGAGATGCGAATAGAATACATAGAAAAGGAAGAGAGGTAGAAAGATGGTGAAAAAGTGAATCAGGTAGAAATGGAGGAACATAGATGGAGTACAGAAAGTGGAAAGGTCAGAGTTGATACGAGGGGTATGATAATGAAGTGAAGGAAGAGGAGATAGAGATACAGTAGGATAGATAGGATGAGAGAGAGAGAGAGAGACAAAGAGAGATGCGAATGGAATACCTAGAAAGGAAGAGAGGTAGAAAGATGGTGAAAAAGTGAATCAGGTAGAAATGGAGGAACATAGATGGAGTACAGAAAGTCGAAAGGGCAGAGTTAAGACGAGTGGTATGATAATGAAGTGAAGGAGGAGGAGATAGAGATAAAGTATGATATATAGGATGAGAGAGAGAGAAAGATAGAGGGATGGAGAGAGGGAGAGAGAGAGAGGGGGAGAATATAAAGTAGAGAGAGGGTGGAGAGAAAAAAAGAAAAGAAAAAGAGATACAGAGAAAGAGAGAGAGAGAGAGAAAAAAAGAAGAGAGAGAAAAAGAAGAAGAGAGAGAGAGGAAAGAAGAGAGAGAGAGGAAAGAGGAGAGAAAGATAAAATAGTAGAGGTGTTGTGGTTCAGTGGATCAATCTCAAGATTGTGAATCACAAGGTTCAAATCCCCGCCGTAGCACTCATGTCCTTTAGCAAGATATTAATTAACATTTGCCACACTCCACCTAGGTGAGGTAGATGGTTACCCGGCAAGATACAAATCCTTCACATGCTTGAGCCCTGCAATGACAGCCATGCTAAAACCGGGGTAATAATAATGGAGCTCCGGGAATGAGCACATTACAAGCCTCCACTATTATTCTTATCGTAGTCAATTGCTATCACTTACTCTACATATGCTTGCTGCAGTGTATCATAGTTGGTGAGTAGATTAACTTGAATAGTCTCCATAAGGGCCAGGTATATTGCACCGATGAGAAGGAGAAACACAAGTTTTGTCAAACTGCCAAGTTGCTGGAACACGGCGCAACTCAGCATGACAAGCAAAATGCTGAAAGTAAAATACTGCAATAAAAAAGAAACCAAACAGAAATGACTAATGTTAGATATTCATGTAAGATATGGAATGGCCTTGGGGGGGGGGGATTCAATGGTATACCCCACAAGCTGATGAGCATATTCTCATGTGTCGGCAAGACAAGTGAAATATTTTCAAAACGAGCGATTTACCCTTGTATCCCACAAAAGACAAGCCCCTAAATGTTATCGTTATTACTTGTATGAAATCTAGTGACTCAGGTTTCCCTACTACATTCTTATGTTTTAGTATTAACTTCAACATTAACCCCAGTGATCAAAACATATTTTGTCCTTCCCCAAGCATTTTTCAAGATTTACGCAAATACGTAATTGTTTCAAAGGTATAGGCCAGTTCTGGTCATGCAATTGGATTGTAAAACAAACGTTGTGGACTCGATCAGAAAAAGTTGATCATGTAGCATACAAGTATTGGTGTGTACTGCAAGGTTCTGGAATCATCAAAATGATAAGAAATTTGGCCCAGTCTTGGTAAAGTTACAAGGACTGTACACAGAAAGATGTATATGGGACTACGCGATATCTATCCAGTCCGGATAGATATAATAATCTACCAAATATATCAATTTGAAGGCAGTTTCTTGCCAAAATTTGTATCATCACGTACTATCATGAATTAGTCAAAACATATTCTTTCACAGTATTGGTAATAAGAGCTTTCATTTCATTTTTTTGAGAGGGGGGCGTTTCCAGAACTGGTCTATACCTTTAATTTATTATAATGTGAAGGGATTTGACTGGAAGCAATTGGGAGAGGTTGATTATATAAGAATTAGTGAACACTGTGAGGTTTGAATTTAGAATCATCAAAATGATGAGAAATGAACACAATCTTGGTGAAAGTCAATTGCACTGCACACTGTAAGGTGTATGCAGGACTACGCAAACACATGGAATGAAAGTTTGGTCCAAACTGTTTAGATATTTCTCGTCATATTTCAAATACAAGAGTAGATGAAGAGAGACTTTATACTAGAGGTTTCTTCTATGGTATTCTTCCAAACTTCCATAAAAAGAATAAGACAGCTCTGAAAAAAAATTCTCCTTCACCAGAACTGAACCTTTTTTTTAAAGGTGCTATGTCCCATATGCAGGCCAAAAAATGAAAAGGCTCAATTCCAACAGCATTTGAAAGACAATATTAATTTAGAACTTCCCTCAAAACGAAGGGGCTTGAAAATAGCTTTTAGTGGGAAAACAACGACCATGAGTTGTTGTATCAACTTAAGTGATTGCAATCACCCATCTAAGTAATGGTCGTACATTTTGTGCTGCACAAAGATTCAATCAGTTTATTTTTGGCCATTACAAGTAGTGGGTTATTGATGTAGACAAATGCTCATATTACAGCTCATTTTATGCATGTTATTACCAAAGAAAAAACAAATGTCAGTCAGTCACTCAATAAGGTCTGACAGTGAAGTCTAGAAGGTAAACGGGTTCCCTTGCATAAATTGAATACTAGGGCACTGCTTATGTTTAAATTTCACAGATATGGCATACGTGACATATTCATAATTCCTGCAAAGTTCTACAGAATTTGATGTTGGGTGCAAAAAGGACATACCGGTACTATATTTAAAGAGTTATATCTTGAATTCACAAGCATTGGTCCCTTACCATAGGGAAATGACAGGTAGGTCCATCTGGCCAGCAATCAGGATGATTTTCTTCGCCTAGCACGATATTGGAATCAATGACATCAGTGATGTTGACACACTCATCGACGGACGTCGTGTCATAAGCGAACTGTACCATAGATGGTCAAGAAAGAAAAGACGATCATACACCTTGAATCAAACATAAGGACATGTAGTTCATGAAAGCATTACCCGTTCGACCTTGGGTACCTGCTACATCACTACATCCTTTGCAAAGACTTTGTTTTCACTGGCTGCCTGCCGTAGCAACAGACAGCTAGTGAAAACGAATTTGTTTAATGAAATTATGGAAATTCAAGCATTACTTTAAACAAACAGAATTTTGGTATGCCAGACTCATTTTTCTTGATTGAGGTGTCATATGAAAGGGCAGAAAATGAACTTTCTAGAATGTGATTTTCTCTTTGAAATTCAGATACCCTCCGCAAAATGACTTTTGGTACCCTTTCTGTAAATTGTTTTTAATCACTTATGCATGAAATATGCATCATACAAGAGGAGGATCTAAGCTTTACAAATATGTGTCATCTATTAATTATAATTGTGATTAAGTTATGATAAAACATCGGTAGTTCTCGGTTTAGTTTTTTCTGGGACGCACTTTATAATGGTATAAAGATACATCTAAGAAAATACATGAATATTTTATAAAGTTAGATACAAAATTACTCACCATTATAGTAAAGGAAGCAGCAAACATAAGAAAGAGTGTCCATACAGCTAGGACTGAACTGAGTATTCTGCTCTCCAAAATGTGCTTGGAGATTGACTGGCAACCACTTGGATTGGACTATATAGATGAAGAAAGAAAAGGATACAAATTCAAGGATTAAAGAAAACAAAAAGTTAAAATGTGGAAAAACAGGATATGTGAAAGTCTCCACATATACACACACAATCAGTGTGTTTATCTTCATCACCTTGAAGCAGCACTTACACTGGAAGAAAAAGAAGAAGAAATTATGAATAAATTGTCAATCATAAATGCACATTAGACAAATTGTTGGGAGCAAACTAGATAACATGTTTTGCTAAGCTGCAGAATACCCCACTATACATTTGTCCAATGTACTGTAGTTAAGGTTGGGATAGGGTTAGTATTAGTGTTAGGATCATGGTTAGGGTTAGAGTCAGGGTTAATCCAATCCAATCCAATCCAAAAGATATTTGATATAGCGCCTTTTCCTTGCAGTTACAAACAGGGAAAGGGTTAACAGGGAAACGGTTAGGGTTGAGTTAGACTGCAAAGGGGCCAGCAACAACTTTGTTAATTCGGGTTAGGGTTATGGTTAAGGTTGGGATAGGGTTAGAATTAGGATTATGGTTAGAGTAAAGGTTAGTGTCAGGGTCAGGGTTAAGATTAGGGAAAGGGTTAGGCTTAGGGTTGGGGTTAGACTGCAAAGGGGCAAACAGCAACATTGTTCAAGAGATGGCGCCGTTTAAATACATCCACAGTTAATACAGAAGAGATAGATATGTCATCGGAAGTCACGCTCGTCCAGAGGTCAAATTAATGGAGCCTTGAAACAATTCCCTCCCAAAGAGATTTGTGTATGTACATGTAATCTATTGAACTGGGTGAGGGAACTATTGGAGTTCCATGAATTGACCTTTGAGCGTGCTCATGTGTGTGGGTCACAGCTATCCCATGCAAGACACTGTGCGTACATCACTTTTCCTAGAGAAATGGGTCGCCTCTGAAAATCTCATCCTGGCAAATGACACACGAATGCATAGGACGACAGTCCAAAAGTCATGTCTCATCACCCTCACATAGGCTGACTGATAAAAGAAGTACTCTACGCTACACATGGGCGGGATAAGCATCGATTGGACTAATTTCTTCAGGATATTGCAAATCCACTGGCAATTTGGTCTAAATTAGTTGCAATTGGCATCTTGTATTGATGGATTAGACTGATAACAATGAGTGCAATGGCACAAGGAAGGAATTTTGAAGGAAAATAATGAGCATTTTGTTTGTGTGGAGCCATAAGGGCGTTAAGAAACAGACTTTCACACAGAGTTAACACCCTTCTGGCTCTGAACAGATGATATCAGATCAATAGAGACTCCTACTTTCATGGAGATTAAATTAGCCATATGGTCATGAATTAAAAACAACCCCCCCCAAAAAAAAAAAAAAAAAAATAAATAAAATAAATAAATAAAAAAAAAAAAAAAAAAAAAATAAAAAAAAAAAAATAAAAAAAAAATAAAAAATAAAAAAAAATAAATAAATAAATAAATAAATAAATAAATAAATAATAATAATAATAATAATAATAATAATAATAATAATAATAATAATAATAATAATAATAATAATAATAATAATAATAATAATAATAATAATAAAACAAAAAAACCCAACTTTTCTTGTAAGTTAATCTTAAGTTCTGGATGAGGACTGATCATGGCACTCATTCTCAGAGGTTCATCTACATTTAGATGGTAAATGTAAACCTTCAAAATGTATGGATTGTTCTTAATAGACCTATACTCCAAAGTTATTATTATCATCCTATTTCGATCTGATGTTTCAAGATGACCTCTGATACATTTAAGGACTCTGTAAGGCTGCAAAGTTTTTTTCATGAATGTAAGTATATCATGAAACCTCCCATGTACAGCGTTGTATATTCATTAGCAACAAGTCAGAACATGTGCTCTCAACAGCAAAGACAAGCAATATCTTCATGATATTTACTTGGCTTGGAAATTGACAAGTTGAATATTAGTCAATTTATGCTAAGAATCACAGTCGACCCAGGGCCCTATCTTAAGAACAGTTGCGACTGGTTCAAATAAATCGCAACTTGATATAAAATGCAACTCTTTATTAAAGAGATAAGAGTTTCTATGTTCTAGCAATTGAATTGGGGAAATGCTCTCTAACCATATCAATATCAACTGTGTAAAGGAAAGGCCACTGGCTATAAATACCACTAAAGGGAGAAAAGAAAAGTTTCCTGAAGGTTAGAGTCTTTAAATACAGTTTCCTATAACACAGGTTTGAATGAGAAACACAGATAGAACCAAAAGGAGGGTATTTAAAGCTAAGCGGTCTTTCTACACAGGTTTTTTAACTAGTCGTTTTTAACTAGGCGCTGTGGTGTGCGCCTGTAATCCAGCTAACAATGGAAGTTACAAATTGATTCAGCCGAAGACGCAGGTTCGAAATTGAGTCACGTCTTTTGGATGGTGATGTTAAAAGTCAGTCCCCAGACGTAAATAATCATATCTGATTGATACACGTCTGTAAAAACCCACACACACATACACAGGCTGAATGTATCTTTGAGGAGTGGAGCTTGGCTTACCGTACACTTCTCAGCAAGGACTATGTATAGAGTGAAACATGAGAAGACGATCAGACCAACAAACACACCCAACATGATGTATGTCCTGCAGAGGAAAACAAAAGGAAAGAAAAACAAAACATGAAAAGTAATCTTGAGTTTTGATAATATCAAAAAATACACCCTCACAGAAAACAAATCAATCTTGCACATAGTGCTCAAAACAACATATAGACATTATGTGGGAAACAATTTTTGTAGACAGACAGATACAATACTTAAGCCAACAACCTGTGTAAAGTATATGATATTTTAATACATAAGGAAGGTAAATATAATTACCTGTGTGAGGCATGTGATACTTACATAGGGAAGGCAAGGACCTGTGTAAGGCATACATGCATGTACTGAGGGAAGGCAAAAACCTATACAAGACATATGATATTTACATAGGGAAGGAAACAAACTATGCGAATCATATGATACTTACAGAAGGCAAGGACTGTGTTATGCATAGGCCTACAGGCATGTACATGTACTTAGGGATGGCAAAGACCTATATAGAGCATATGAATCTTACTTAGGGCAGGCAATGCCCTATCAAGGCATATGATACTTAGGGAAGGAAACGACCTATACAAGGCATATGATACTTACTTAGGGAAGGCAACAACCTGTGCAAGGCATATGATACTTACTTAGGGAAGGCAACGACCTATACAAGGCATATGATACTGACTTAGGGAAGGCAAGAACTGTGTTATGCATAGGCCTACATGCATGTACTTAGGGAAGGAAACGACCTATACAAGGCATATGATACTTACTTAGGGAAGGCAACGACCTGTGCAAGGCATATGATACTTACATAGGAAAGGCAACAACCTATACGAGGCACATGATACTTACTAAGGGAAGGCAACGACCTATATAAGACATATGATACTTACTTAGGGAAGGCAACGACCTGTGCAAGGCATATGGCGATGAGGATGAGAAGTGCACACACCATGTAAGAGCTGAACATGGGGTCACGAACCTTGGAATACTGCATAAGAGAATAAAAATCATTTAATCCGTTCATGAGTTTGAAACTTGGACATTGAACTTCAATAACATGTAACTAAGATTGAATAAGTATTTATTTATTTAATACATTAACACTTAATCACAGTATGTATTCAGAGATATGATTCATTCAATGACTAACAAAGACCTAACATATATAAAAGGACATCAGCTACTTAGAGTGAATTACAAAAAGCTTGTAAAAACAAAATTGTTCTTCAAGCTATGAATGCATATATACATTTATGGTGGATGAACTCTCTATCCAAGTCCCTCCCCTTTCAAAACGTTAATAAGTACTTTTAAGATCAATATTAATATAATGAATGAACAGTTCCTTCTTTTTGAAAGTACTGGCACAAAGAACTTCTGTAACATATGAGGATTAAGCAATGTGATGGTGCAGATTGACTTTATCTGGCTGCATGCTTCAGTATGGTTCACCCCATGGAAGTGTAACAAACCAAAACTTTCACAATTTGTAAAAAAAAAGGGGGACTATTACGAATCATAGAAAATTTGCAGTTGTGTCACTTGTGTGGGATGTAATTCAATTATTTTTCAGGCATTATTTTGAGAAATGTTAGCATAAATCTGAGAAATTCACCAATCTGAATCACTCATTTGGGAATATTTCATGCTGTCAATAACTTCTGGGTTTTACAGTGGAAGGATGTCTCTGGACGAACCTTTTCTTCCAGGTCTTTTTTAAGGAAAGTAAGTGTGAGTCTGCGGACATGTTCTGATCTCAGTCTGTCGATACTCCTCGCATCGATGGCGCGGCCCAAGAATTCATTGACCTCTTCCTCAGGATCAGTCTTCTCTTGGTTCTTATCAAGACCCAACCTGAAGATGATGATAATGATAATAATGATAATAATAATAATATAAATAATAATAATAACAATAATCATAATCGTGATCACAATAATAATTATCATAATAATGACAAAATAATAATAATAATAATAATAATAAGACCGATAAAAATAATAATTATAATTCAAATCATTCACCATCACCATTATCACCAAAATTGGACTAGTAAAGCACTATTTACATAGGATCTATATATTTGGACCTCGTAAATCACTCCCCTACTTTGAAGATGCTTTGTGACTGGTAAAGTACAAAACCCAAAGCCTTAGATTTTTATCAAGACCTTGTCTAATGGGACTCATCGTCATAATCATGATTAGATTTATAAATCATAATTTCTAAAGGATATGAAATGGGATCTCTCAGTCTACAATAAGGGTGAAAAGGAAGGAGGAAAAGAAGAGGAAGGAAACAAAAAGGAAAAAGAAGCAAGAGAAGATGAGAAACCAAAAGAAAGAGAAAAAGAAAAAAGAAAAATAGGAAAAAGATGAAGAGGAAGAAGCAAAGAAGAAGAAGCAAAGAAGAAGAATTGAAAGAAGAAGAGAAAGAGAAATTAAAAAAAAAATAAAAAAAAGAGGTAGAAGAAATATAAATAGACAAAGGAAGAAAAGTGCAATTTTTTTTTAAAAGAAGGTAATATTTAAAAAAAATAGATAAAGAAAATAAATCCACCTCTTACACTCTCAGGAGCAACCTTAGACTATTGTCTTTAAACCGGATTAAAGAAAAAACGTGAAAAACATCTACCATAACATGAATATAATATTTTCAAATAATTAACAATCCATTCTGAAACTCTGTAAGATTTCATGAAAGCCTTGTATGGTTTGATTATTTCCTTTAAACTTCATGCGTAGCTGGAATGGCACACTACAAGCAAAGCCATAGGGAGGCACTGGCATCATTTCCTTTTCATGGAGGGGGATGGGGGTATTACTTTGTTAATTAAATGCAAATTAACATGGCTAATGATTAGGGGGAGGATTTTGCGGGACAGGGTCCTATCATATTCTTTGCTCAACCTTTTCTCCACTCTTCACTTTCTCTCTCCCTCCCCTCCCCACTCCTCATTTTCTTTCCCCCTCCCCACAATTTGACTTGGGAGGAGGCAAGAGCCCCCTTTCCTCCTGTAGCTACGCCACTGCTGGTGGGGTGTAGATGTCCTATAGGGCAGGGAGAGTTAAAGACCGCTAATGCCTTGAGACATCTAACAAGATTAGCCTAGTTGCCTTCTATTTACCCCCATTGTTTCATGATGGAACAGAACGAGTGAGGCAATCTAGTTAATTAGTTCAGGAAGTGGGACATGTATGGAGGGGCGAGAGAGTGCATGAAGAGCCACCCTGGGTGACGTGCTTGCACCTGCATGAAATGCGAGAGAAGTAATATGGAGTGTAGGAATGTAAGACATGTAACATAAATGCCATCTACGAGTATTGCAAGGTATTATACAAAATAATAGACAGCTACATTTAGGTGCTATTGATTTCAGACACTCTATAGAGGAAGAGGAAGAAGAGAAAAGAAGAAAAGGAAGAATAAGACGAAGAAAAAGAAGAACAAGATGAAGAAAAAGAGGAAGATGGTACAGATGAAAAAGATTAAAAAGAGGAAATGGAGGAAGACCACGAAGAGGAGGAAGAGAAAAGGAAGAAGAAGAAGAAAAATGAAAAAAAGAGAAGGAGGAGAGGAGGAAGAGGAGAAGGAGGACCAAAAAGTAGCTGCCCGCAACACAGGTTCTCATTATGTTCAAGTGCTCACTTATCTGGTTATATATAGTGTATGGTAATGTGACCATAATTTGCATGTGACCTAATTAAGTTTGCGCAGTTCCATACCTAAACAAATCGACAATGGTTTGAAACCAATGGAAAGTGGAACCTAGAATTACCTATCTAAACAAAAAAAATCTAATGAGGGATCTGCAAATTTTGCAGCATTTTACGTCCATTCCAAAATATATGAACTTACTGGAAAGGTTCTGGAAATCCTAATGTTGAGAGAAGATGTCATCAAAATTGTGAGTGAAAAAGTGACATCAACTGATTGTATGATATTTTGCCTTCCAATTCATGTAATTATTTTACCTTTAGTAGATCACTCTAATGGATAAATCAGCTGTTACTCTCTTGCGCGAGAGTTTACAGCTCTTGTTGTTTTTATGACTTTTTCTTTAGTTGTTGTGCACGCTGATCCGACGTCAAAATTTGAGATTGAGATATTGCCAGAATTTTTTGACAATAAATTTTCTAGTTGCATCATTTGTCATCTAGAATATTTCAATTTCCATTTGGTAGTAATTGATCTAAATAAATGTATGTGGAATATGAGAAATCATGGATCGAATATATGACATTCCTACATTTTGGGGAAATGTGTGCAAACTTTGGACACCTGATCATATCTGTGTTGTAACATACAAAAGTGTGAAACTTATTGCGCTTTATAAAAAAAACCTATGGTTCACCCCAGTATATGAGAATGAGGTTTGAAGCCCATTTGTACTAGTTTCAGACCTAGGGATAAGACCACCCAGCAAGGTCACTGACAGGTGGCTATCTCATCAACTCAGCTCTCAATTAACATAAGAAAAAGAGGATCATGGGGGACCAACAGGCACCAATTAAGCATTGTTTGCTATATAGAAGTCGCAAGTAGCTATATGTAGTGCAGTAGGGATTTAAGCAATCACTCCCCCTCAAGTTTTTCTAACATGTAAGTCTCACCTATTTTCAATGTTTTTGTTCATTCCGGACTTGCCCGTCTTCTCAGAGTAACCCAGTCTTCTCATCTCCTTGGATTCCTTGCCTGGCATGATGGATGAGAAAGGCTTCTCCGCTCCCCAGCTCTGGAGCTGTACCACTGATGAAGACCGCCCTCTGTGTTCTCCGTTGGTGGTGATCGGTGACTTGAGCACACTCTGTTAGTTAAAACAATAAAACAATATGCCTTTTCATAAGCACATGGATAAGCACAAGGCCAAGCCATTTCACCCTGGAACATGACCGACTACATCATATATTTCAATACCACCCATCCTCTCTAACCGGGGCTATAGTTCTCCTCAGAACTATAAGCTAAGAAAGATAACCAACAGTCTTTTTCAAGACTACCAACAGTCCTTTTCAGGACTACACACCCTCAAGAAAGAAAAATTACAGAGAGTCCTTTTCAGGACTCCCCAATCCTCCCCCCTCTCTCACATGGTGCTACTACAAGCCTACTGTTTATTCAATTTATATGTTAAATTGATAGCCGTCATCAAGCTTGAAATAGACATATATCAAGGAAAAATGTACTTTTGATGTTAATTGATGTTCACAATACCATAATATTTGTTCATGTATGGGATACCACATGACCAAATTCTCTGGACCTGCTCTGAATATGAACATTAGTTTCAATCAATACACACTTTATAGCATTGATTGAAGAAAAAAAAACAGCCATTTAACACGTTGTATCTGGACATGCGCAAAGCCTTTAACAAGTTAAAATGAAAGCTACAACTTACCGGTCTGGTATTTTTGGGTACTATGAGATAAGAGTCAATGTTATGATCCCGCAGATATGTGTTCCTATCCTGACCATTGCCAGCTTCTACCTCATAGTCGCCATTCAAGAACTTCAATGTTGCTTTGGTGATATGAACACGCCTGTAGAAGATAAAAAATAATAAAAGACTTAGAATCAAAACTGTTTAATGCATGCCTTTATTCAGCATTGGTTCGGTAATGTGAGTATGCCTGTAGAAGCAAGACTAAACTTAAAGATTTAATGGGAAATTGTTTTATAGATGGTATTCATGAACTTTGGCACTGCTTCAGTAAAGTGGACATGCCTGTAGAAGATAAAAAGTGATTCTATCTATTTGTGATGATGGTGATTAGAATGAGGAAGAGGAGGAAGAGGAGGAGGAGGATGACGACAACAGTTTCTTGTATGAATAAGAAAACTACATGAAAAGGCTGGTTAAGTAATATAAAATATTATATTTTAAACTGCAATATTTGTTCAGTGTATTATTACAGCTGGGCACATTTATGGTGTAATCAAGTTTTTGAAATATATATTACAAATACAATTTTGTATGACCAATATTTGTTTTCTTCTTCATATTGATGCAAACATTCCATGTCTAAATGCACCATCTATAAAGCAATTTCTAATTTCAACCTGTTGCCTCCTGAATTCTCTACTTTCCATAGGCTAATACAGGGACCATCAATTCCCATAATCAATAGGTTAAGAAAGTCAAGTTTTTCTTCATCTAAAAGTATTGATGCATTATCAAACATGTGCAGTTGAATCACTTATGGCATGGAGAGCCTTAATAAAAGCAGTTTCCCTATTCATCGAAATCCTTTTCAGCCCCAAACTCTTATTTTCAGCCTGTTTATCATGGCATCCTCGTAAATGCGTGGGAATGCTCGGGTCAGCTCGTCTGGGGTCCTGTTTCCGACCATCTGCGACGGCGGTGGCGTAACGCTACCTCGCCGACTGACTTCAGTTTCAGCGGCAAAGCGTTCTTTCGTGAAAACTCATGCCGACACCTTTCACAGCCTTAGCCACGGATGGACGGCCTTGCCTTCTGACCGATTAAAGATTTAGTTGAGTTCTGGGGGGTGTTTCACAAAACTTGTCATCAGTGACAAATGATAGTCTTTGTTATAAGCTACTGAAATCCTTGCTTCTGATTGGTTATCAGCAGATTTTTCACTGATTTTTATCATTGAAAAAAGGCTTTTTGAAACAGGTCCTAGGTCAGGTGATTACATTGTGACATTGACAATCTCGAAGTCGGAAACGTTTATTAGGCAATGAAGGAGATTCGTTGTATACTGCAAGGTTTTGGAATAATGTACAATATGACAAGAATTGGTTCAATCATGCTGAATGGCACATGTACTGCACACAGGCATGGGTATGGGACTACATACATGTCACATGAAAGTTTGGTCCAAACTATACCGCTATATTCCTCCCATATCTCCTCATATTTTGAGTATGTCTGCATTTGAAAAGGAATCGTTAGCTCAGGACATTTCTACTACAATATCCTTCCTGACTGAAAAAAGCAAGAGGCAAATCTCATAAATTATTTTTCCTTTTTTACCAGAACTCACCCTTACCTTTAATTTGCAAATTGGCAACTGGGGGAATTCGGAGCGAGCAAGCAGCACCTGTCATGCAATAGCCCCTGCCAGGAAGCCCATGGACAAATGTTAGCCGTGATAATTGTTTGATTGTAATGGAGCTTTCTAATGTAGGAGTTATTTATACTGCGTTTGAACTTTTCAGATTCAGGGATTCTTCAAACATTAATTGGAAAGCATGAAAGGTGGTATTAAAGGAGTATTGAATGGTCTAGTCGCCTCAAAGGAGTGTAGTCTGATAACCTTTGCGAAGAAAAGGTTGTTTATTCCGATCCCCTCTCTCTCCTTCTCTTTCTCGCGCTCTCTCTATGTCTTTCTCTCTCCGACTGCCTGTCTATCTCTATCTCGTCTCCCTCTTTTCCTTCATTCCTTCTACTTTTTGTCTATTTCAGTTTTGTTCCATAAGAAAATAGAGCAAAATGGTCTATTTTTCTATGAAATACCATATGAATATAGAGAATATAGCCTCAGAAATATATTTTCAGGGTGTGAAAAACAAGCAGGGCAAGTGGTAGCACCTATTGAATCAACTAGCTTCCTTTGTGCAACAATATATGCATAGAACATGAATCTATAATCACACAAACTCAGCGAGAAGTGCAAATGACACTGACACCTTCTCTCTCCGCTGCTGTTGTATATTCTATGTAGTTGCCTCAGGGTTCGATATGATTTCCATGTTCATAACTCCATCGCATCGTTATCCCCCTACTGCATTCCCTTGTGGGGTGCGGTGCAAACTTTCATAACAAAAGTACCAATGCGTCATGATTTCAGAGCATCATCGTTTATTAACTCATTCAATTATTGGTTATGGGATATGGGGGAATAACCACAGCTTGTGGTAGACAAGATAAAAGTACAATTATTAATCTCTCTCCCACTTTGCATAGAGGCGAAGAAAGCAAGTAAGCAGGGGGAAAATACATGGGGGCTCAGGGCAAATTAGCCCCTAAAATGCCAAAAAGAGCCCCGAAAGTCATAAAAGAGCCCCCCAAAACTACATAGATTTCAATGCAAAACAAAATAATGTGAGTTATTTTCATGCAAGCAAGCTTAAAAAGTAGCCCATGAAATGTTATAAGTATTTTTCCCCTGAAGTAATGTGTTAATAGCTCTACAAGAGCTTGGATTAGACCAAATATTCAATGTCCATAAACATAATTTGACAATACTTGGTCACATAGAGACATCAAATGACTGAAAAACCTTTGACTACCCAAATGAATTCAGTGCCTGCATATTCTTGACTGTCTTTTAATCTGCCAAGTGGAAAGAAGCAGGTTGACGGCTGACATCAATGTACGGTACTCTGGTTTCTTCATTCACAAATTGGAATGACATGAGCTATGTATTATTCATGTTGATTTACTGTTTGCCTGAGTCATTACAATTCATCATCACGGGACATAATGATGCTGCATTGCCTTGTTTTAGAGCTTGGGAACAGGGCTCAAAGATGCAGAGAGAGCCAAAGAAATGAGGATAGAAGAGGGGAGGGGAGGGGAGGGGAGGGGAGGGGAGGGGAGGGGAGGGGAGGGGAGGGGAGGGGAGGGGAGGGGAGGGGAGGGGAGGGGAGGGGAGGGGAGGGGAGGGAAGGGGAGGGGAGGGGAGGGGAGGGGAGGGAGAAGAGGCAAGAGGGGGGCAGAAGAGGGAAGAGAAGATAGGAGGGGAGAGGAGAGGGGGGGAGGGGAGAGGATAAGGAGGGGAGGAGGGGAGACTGTGCATATTAGCAAACATACAGCAATTTAGAGAGAGAGAGGGGGAGAGAGGGAGAGAGAGAGAGAGAGAGAGAGAGAGAGAAGGATAACCGCAGTCAAATAAATGTGAATCAGAGGGAAAGAGATTTTACCAAATATATGGTATGGGTATGAAAAAAAGGAGGGAGATAGACAGTTACAGGAGATGTAAACACACACATACAGCACAAAAGAGAGAGAAGAGGGGTACGACACAGGGCAAGAGGAGGGGGTGGGGGGGGGGGGGCGGGAGCAGGCGTAGACGATATAGATACAAAGACCAAACGTATGGGGGTGGAATAAACAGAGACACACAGAAAGGTCAACATACATCAACAGACGATAAAACAATGCAATAGATAAGTTACATGAAAATGAAAGAGATAACTGAGAACATGATATATATTGAGAGATTTGGGAAAAGAGAAAAATGAAAGAAAATTTCAGAATAGTTCTCATCCGTTTGGAGATTAAATGAAAAAGAGTATAAAAAAAGAGAATTTTTTTTTAGTGAGTTCACATCTACTGCTGATAAGGCTTGTCATTTTTATTTTCATCATCGTCGTCATCGTCGTCATCATCGTCATCGTCATCATAGTCTTGATAATTCAAGTGCCTGCAGGGGAAAGTGAACTGAATCACTGTAACCCTCTGCCTCACCTCCCAACATACCTGACAAGGATGGGTAGGTACGGGACCACTAGAATTATGCACTATGACTGATTCGCTTCAGGTCTTGCAGCGAAAACACTAAGATGTTTAATGTGCATTTTCCTCCAGATAATTCACACAGGCTATGTATTGGTTTGGAGCCAGAAGGGCTTTAACTAAATCAATTGTACACAGAGCTAACATCCTTATGGCTCCAAAAAGACAATATCTGAGATAATGACCTTCTGGCCCTAAAAATAAATTGTTTGTTGAGAGCAACAAAGGCATTAACTTCTAGATATTGCAAAACATATTTAATACTGTTATGGTTCTCAATAGATAATAAAGAAGGGCAAACCGTGGGTATTTTGTACCATATTGAACTTAGGAATTCAAAGCTTTTCTTATCTTCTTTCCTTGTAGTCTCTAAACAGACAATAACCCGAGAGTTATTCCTCCCTCCCCCCCCCCCCCCGTCTTTTTTCCATATTTTTAATCTATACTCTGTTCTCAACTCTCCATTACATTTTCAAGTAACTTATCTTTTGCACTGCGTTATTCCTTTGATGTAGATATACCTGTCATATGTTCGTCTGTTTGGGGCTTGAAGGACGTTATTTTTGCATAACACACTTCTGACTCCAAACATATGATACATGTATTCCAATGTTATCGACATCATAATCAGTGTCTGTGTACCAAATGATCCTACAAATTTAAAAGGAAAGTTCACCCATATATTAAGTTTGTTGTAATAGAAGCAGAAAATGAGAAAAACAGGTCAGAGAAAGTTGTGGCAAACACTGATAAAAACAAGAAAATCATGAATTTTTGAAAATGCAATCAAACTTAAGAAAGTTTTAAATGATACATTTACCCCAAATATAACTATTGCAAATATTTTTTTGTACAACCCCTTTATGAAACAAACTTAATCCGTCATCAATAACTAAGAAAATGAAGTTTTTGAAGTTTTCTGTACAGAGCATATTGGAGAGAAGCTCGCAAGATACATTACAGTGTTGCCAGTTTGTGTTTCACTGATGACAAATGCAAAAATTTACAACCTTCCTATTTTTAATCGGATATTGCTGAAACTTTCATGAATTT